AATACATTTGGCTCAAATTAAAATTAATTATATTAAAATGAAGAAATCAAACAGAATATGATTTTAAAATAAATAAATTTAACTTGGAATTTCAATTAAAACAATAAATTACTTACTTTTTATAACCTCAACAAATTTTTGGTACTTTTCCACGATTTTGTTCTAACTTCCAGTTCACCTGTAACGAAAATGACTTATATTAAATCAATTAACGTTAATTAATTAATAATTATCGCTCAAAACGTTAATTTGAACCACAATACCAATTTTACTTGTTTACAATTGCTTTTTATAAGCGCCACTCGCGGAATTTAATTGAACCAAATGTAGTGTTGGTTGCATAACCAAAAATAAATTTAATTTATGAAAAAATAAATTATATTAAAATAAAGAAATCATACATAATATGATTTTAAAATAAATAAATTCGTTTAAAACGAATAAATTTAACATCGAATTTCAATTAAAATAAAAAATTACTTACTTTTTATAACCTCACAATATTTTTGATACTTTTCGATCATTTTCTTCTAATTCAAGTTCATCTGTAACGAAAATGAGTTAAATCAAAGCAATTAATGTTAATTAATTAATAATTATTACTTAACGCATTAATTTAAACAACAATAACAATTTTATTTGTTAACAATCGCTTTCTATAAGCGCCACTCGCGGAATTTAATTGAACTTAATGTAATGCTGGTTGCATAGTCAAAAATAAATTTAATTTATAAACGAATTAATTATATTAAAATGAAGAAATCAAACAGAATATGATTTTAAAATAAATAAATTTAACTTGGAATTTCAATTAAAACAATAAATTACTTACTTTTTATAACCTCAACAAATTTTTGGTACTTTTCCACGATTTTGTTCTAACTTCCAGTTCACCTGTAACGAAAATGACTTATATTAAATCAATTAACGTTAATTAATTAATAATTATCGCTCAAAACGTTAATTTGAACCACAATAACAAATTTTACTTGTTTACAATTGCTTTTTATAAGCGCCACTCGCGGAATTTAATTGAACCAAATGTAGTGTTGGTTGCATAACCAAAAATAAATTTAATTTATGAAAAAATAAATTATATTAAAATAAAGAAATCATACATAATATGATTTTAAAATAAATAAATTCGTTTAAAACGAATAAATTTAACATCGNAACCAAAAATAAATTTAATTTATTAGCAAGTAAATCATATTAAAATAAAGAAATCATGCATAATATAGTTTTAAAACAATTAAATTTGTTTAAAACAAATAAATTTAACATCGATTTTCAATTAAAATAAAAAATTACTTACTTGTTATAACCTAAAAGTATTTTTGATATTTTTCGATGATTTTCTTCTAATATCCGTTTCACCTGTAACAAAAATGAGTTAAATCAAATCAATTAATGTTAATTAATTAATAATTATCACTTAACACATTAATTTAAACAACAATAACAATTTTATTTGTTAACAATCGCTTTCTATAAGCGCCACTCGCGGAAATTAATTGAACCTAATGTAATGTTGGTTGCATAACCAAAAATAAATTTAATTTATTAACAAGTAAATCGTATTTAAATGAAGAAATCATATTTAATATGATTTTGAAATAACAAAATTTGTTTAAAACAAATAAATTTAACTCAGAATTTCAATTAAAATAACAAATTACTTACTTTTTATAACCTCAAAAAATTTTTGGTAGTTTCCCTGATTTTGTTCTAACTTCCAGTTCACCTGTAACGAAAATAAGTTAAATCAAATCAATTTATGTTAATTAGTCAATGATTATCGCTCAAAACCTTAATTTAAACCACAATAACAATTTAATTTGTTTACAATTGCTTTTTATAAGCGCCACTGGCGGAAATTAATTGAACCTAATGTAATGTTGGTTGCATAACCAAAAATAAATTTAATTTATTAGCAAGTAAATCATATTAAAATAAAGAAATCATGCATAATATAGTTTTAAAACAATTAAATTTGTTTAAAACAAATAAATTTAACATCGATTTTCAATTAAAATAAAAAATTACTTACTTGTTATAACCTAAAAGTATTTTTGATATTTTTCAATGATTTTCTTCTAATATCCGTTTCACCTGTAACAAAAATGAGTTAAATCAAATCAATTAATGTTAATTAATTAATAATTATCACTTAACACATTAATTTAAACAACAATAACAATTTTATTTGTTAACAATCACTTTCTATAAGCGCCACTGGCGGCAATTAATTGAACCGAATGTAATGTTGGTTGCATAACCGAAAATAAATTTAAATTATTAACAAGTAAATCATATTAAAATGAAGAAATTATACTTAATATGATTTTGAAATAAAAAAATTTGTTTAAAACAAATAAATTTAACTCAGAATTTCAATTAAAATAACAAATTACTTACTTTTTATAACCTCAAAAAATTTTTGGTAGTTTTCCATGATTTTGTTCTAACTTCTAGTTCACCTGTAACGAAAATGAGTTAAATTAAATCCATTAATGTTAAATAATTAATAATTATCGCTCAAAACGTTAATTTGAACCACAATAATAATTTTACTTGTTTACAACTGCTTTTTATAAGCGCCACTCGCGGAATTTAATTGAACCTAATGTAATGTTGGTTGCATAATCAAAAATAAATTTAATTTATTAACAAGTAAATCATATTATGCATGAATATGATTTTAAAATAAATA